TTCGTGTCAATAATCAACACTTGGACTTAGAATGGAGTTTTTTTATTGTCGTAATTGTTTGCAAGTGAATATGTTCTGCAGATAATAGTGTATAGGCTATTTTTAATTAAGTCCTTTTTTGCATTTAAATAAATATTTTTAATTGGTCTATTTGTTTCTTTAATTGTCTGCAATTTAATGATAGTAAATAAATACATTTTTAATTAGTACCCATAAAAATTAATTGTAGCTCGATTTCAGACACAAATATTGATTTAACTGGAAATTGTTTTATACAACCACCAACACTGCTTCCATCACAATACGAGTTTGAAAGTATGCAACCATATATACACATGTATATACGGCGACTCCTTTTCGAAGGCAAAATTTTCGGAACTCGTAAAATGAAAGATATGAAAAACGATTGAAAAAGACTATATGAAACAAGGGGAAAATTTAAATACGCTTCCCTTCGCCCTGTATATCTAATACACATGCACCAAAACATCTCAAATGGCGATTCCAAAAAACTACTCATGCAATAGATATCCTCACATAAGATTACTAACTGTTGATATTACAGAAACCAGTACTTTTAGTCTACATTCCCCAACCAGCATTGAAATACACCAGCAATGTCTAAAAAATAGTAAGTAATTATATAAAAAAAGAAAGAATAATAATGAAAATGATAATGATAACGATAACAATAAACATAACGATAACGATAACGACAACGATAATAATAGTAATAACAAATACAGTAGCTAGAATTACACAGCAGGCAATAGCATTACAATACCAACTGCATAAATATACAGATCCATATTATACATACACACCATAAACTATACTAGAAAATCAATATTATAAATTATATTGGGACCGCTATACGCATTGACAAAACCATCGCACATAACAGACTGGATAACAGGATAACTGGATTTCAGGATAAATCGGAAAAAAAATATCACTTACCACTTACCTATATAAATGATAAAATATTCAGAAAAAAACAAGGACTGGCAACAGAAATAGAAAGAATTTGGAAACAAAAAGAGTGCACGTTGTATGAAGAATTAGTGGACTGTATTCTATTTATTAAACTAACTAAAGGTATGTAAATGCTTTAGTAATTTACCAATAATGTAAATGTTGCACTTTTCACTGTTACCGTATAGTATGGATGAGAAGGAAATGAAAAGTAGGTATTATAATACCACAGACAATATAGCGTATCGCTACAGACTGCTACTTAAATGCTGGAAATTGGCAACCCGAAATGGAAGCAGGGTCTCCTTAGCCGGCTTCCAGCTATAAAATTTAGCGTGGTAACTCTTCTACTTGGTAATAGGCGGCAGTTCCAGCGGTTGCTTTGTTGCCAAATAATAACTGCTAAATAAATTTAATGCTTTCAATTATGTAATTAAAGAGATATGGAACTTATCTTGTGTTTGGAAATCACATTTGCCTTAAATGTTAAATAAAATAAATCAAGTTAGAATTAAAACTATGAATTTACCTAATTAATTATTTATTTTATATCACCTTGGAATGGGAAAATTCAAAAACTCGAAATTAATGTTTTTAGATTTGTGCGTCGACTTCCAATATGGTACGATATTAACACCTATGTTTAAAAAAATTGCATTATACAGGTTGTGTATCCTTAGATGGGTACTGCCTCTTATTGTTGATTTCTTTAGATAGGTAAAATAATTATTGACACAAGTGTTGCATATCATGGATGTCATTGGTAGTGCTCATATTTGTGACACAAGGTGTTCAAAAAAATTAACACAATGTAAAATTGCTGGAACCTCAAGGAGTAGTTGAATACGAAATTTTTTTAAAAAAAAACAACAAATCATCAATCAATACAGAGATAAGATAATGCGTTCGCTACTGCTGTTGCAATTTTTGACTAACTTTTTTGTTTTTCGACATACTGACTTCGGACCGTTTCCATTCAACGCAGAACGGACAATCAGAACCAGAGTAGTGGGGAGATTTTTTTAATTATTTTTCAATTCAACGCACCGTTTCCGAATTATAAGACCTTTTTTTAGTGTATCACCTCACACACCTCTTCTTTCCGAAATTTATTTTCCACATACGGACTTCAGACCTTTTCCATTCAACGCGGAACTGACACACAGAACTAGGGGTGTGGGGAGAATTTTTCAATTATTTTTTCGATTTAACACACCGTTTCCGAGTTATACGGCCTTTTTACTATAACACGACGTACCTCTTGTTTCCAAAATTTATTTTCGACTTCGGACCTTTTGCATTCAACGCAGAAGGAACATACAGAACCCGAGAGGGAGGGGTTGACATTTTTCAATTATTTAAAAAAAAAATACTGTTTTTTTTTTCTTTCATATATTGTGACACCCCGCTCTGCGTCACCTACCGAGGGCTCTACTCAGAACCAAGGGGAAATTTGTTTATATTTCCAGCCATTTCCGAGTTACGAGCAAAAAGCGTTTTTTTTTTCTTATACTGTGTAACATCATAGATCGATAAAGAAGGCTAAAAAGGCCACGCGCTCTACCCCACGCTCCCTCCCTAGGTGTCCGGAAATTGCTGGGGAGACTCCTGAAGACAGCAGAGAGAGAAAGAGATAAGCTCTCTATGAGGACAGAGTCACTCTATCTCTATCGCACACTATAACTCTATCTCTCTCACACACAATCAGACAAAAACGTCAGAAACGAACCTTCTTTTAAAAAACATGGAATTTATCATTATTAGAATAACCCATTTTAATTTAAAAAATTACAATGGGTTATTCTGATGACGAAAAATAAAACATGTATTATTCAAATAACAATAATGTGCAAACGTTCTTCAGGAATATTGGCAAATTTACTTTGGAGGAAGAATCCCGTCAATGAACACTAAAAAATATTATTAGAAACCTTAGGTGCCCAGAACACAGCCCCGATCTCATTGTCAGTCCTTTAGACATATTCTTTTTTACCTGAAAATTTACAAGTATTGAAAGAAAAATACAGGACGAACTGCTTGATAATTTTGAATTTGTTTTCGAAGCAATTAATAGTAAATTAAAACATATTTTCAACTGTATCATCACAATCACTTGCAAGTTGATTTGTAAAAATTGTAGGTATATTAATGTTATTTCATTTTTAGGTATTCTCCTTATGTTGTTGTAAAGGTTATAGTTATAAAAATCGTTGTTTGTTATTTTCATAAGGCTGAATTTTAATTTTTTTAATGATTTTTTTTATTTTAAACATATATATTTTATGCCAGCAAATTTTGATGTCAAATGAAATAAAGGAAAAGTCGTACATTTGTGTTTAAAGTTTTTTTCTATCTTTAATTATTAAACCTGTAAGTGGATGTCAAAATACAAAAAAAAAAACCTATTCCTACATTCCGCGACGTACTAATAACCCACCTTGTATATTAAATAAATTTATCGTCATCAAATATTAAAAAAATTATATTATTACGAATTTTGTTTGTTTGGAAATATATTTTCTGCAGTATTTCAATACCAAAAAATGAAAATAGTAGGTAGCTAATTAACGAAATTATGATTAAATAACTTAATTATAACACCGCTGCAGAATATCATATGAAACTACATAGATATTCGTTGATTCTTTAAAAACATTTTTATCAATACCTACATTATACATTTAAGTAAATACAGTAACGTAAAAAAAACAGATATTGATAAGAAAGTGTACAAAAGAAATCCGTAAGTACGCCTGGCAACATTACCAAAGTCTTGTTTATATGTTGCTAGGATACGGGTAGGTATGCGGGCCACTGCATTTAATTCTTCCTAAAATTCTGCTGGTGGTGTACTCTACCGGCAATTCGGAAGTTTAAAACTGCCGGCCTATTCCAGTAGTGGTCTGTGGCGATAGGTATTTTGTCTGTGATAATACTAATACTATATAACCACCAGCGAGTGATGTGGTAATTCTATAAATCAATGAGTCTATGTCGCGTAAAATCTAAAATTTTAATCAGTTAACTATTCTAATGAACATGGTTCAATGCTATTTTTATCAGAGAACTTTTTGCACACATACAAAAAAAAATAACAAAAAGGATCAGTTTTATTTCAAAGTTTTGAGTCCCTAGAATGACAGAGTCTGGCCAGTCAACCGGTTTGCCCTTCAAAATGGCGGCCGCTTGGCTGCTATACGCAGGCGCGATCTTTAACAGCTGTTTACAGTTGTAACGGCTGTGAAATCAGTGAAATTTTTTATCATTAGTTAATTCCCCCAAAAAATCAGTGTTTTGAAGGCCAAAAAGTCAAAAACAGTAAATAATTTGTTATATTATTACCGGGGATTGCATAAACAGAACGAGTATCTCAGATAAAATTCGTAATTATGAAATTATAATGAGAAAATCATGTGTCATGATTTTTAGGTAGGTAGTTTATTTTGAATCGTATGGTAGGTAATTTATTTTGAATCGTATAAAAATATTTATTGTATAATTTTATTTATCATTATGAAATAGGTATTACATATTTTGAAACTCAACTTTTAAACATATGTGGGATCAAAACTGCGTCTCCATTTGAATTTAGGGCAGATAAGAGCGGAAACGATTTTATTACAAGAATGTCTTACATAATAAATGTGGAGAAATAACATAATTTAATTTGGAATGGCTAGAAATTTTAATCAATTCCTAACTACACAAATACTGTATATTCATTATTTTCTGTTACTTAATACATTTATAATAATAATCATATTAAAATATGTAAATATATCTTTTTATCGTAATGTGCCATTGACTCTATAGCTCCACAATTTTGGTAATCTTAGAACAACTCCTTCAAATAGTTATATGTCTTTTGTCACACTTGACTTGATGGTACTCATAAAAGTGCAAATTAATGATTGACCTTAAAATTAACTATGGGGTATATAATGAAAACAAATTATATAAATATAGTGTATTTAGCAACAAAATATTTACTTATATAGAAAGACAAAATCTAAAGTACCTTAAAAAATCTCACTCATATTATTTATATTCTAGTAAAACTAAATCAATATGTTTATAGGTAGTATGTAGAAAATTATTTCATTTCGCATTTTCTGAATAATACTTAACTTTCAATATGGAGAATGTTGTGCATGAGATGCAAAGATCGATATTTTAAATATATAATGTGAAAGAATTTAACAGTCAAATATATTTTTTTACAATTGCATAACAGTGTCATAAAATATATAGCGAACATTTTCATAGAATTATTAAAGATAAATATGTTTATTATCACAAAATTGATCTGCATTCATATTATTTAGTTTTGTCAAGTTCAACAATGTTATCTGTATTGCCAGAGACAGTGACAGAATTATGTACATCTGGCATTTCAACTATTTCAGGAGGCACTGTGGTTACACTACCATCATCTTCAACTTCAATTCCCATAGTGGCTCCAAGTTTTGCGGACGCTCTTTTGAAAGTATCACTGAGCTTTTCTTGTACGACATTAATACACATGGTCATAAGAGCTAATCCAAAAACCAAATAAACGATTGAAACAATCATGCAAATGGGATGCGTTGGTACGTAATCTCCAAATCCAATTGTGGACATGGAAATGAACACGAAATAAAATGAGGCAAAGAAGTTCCAACCTTCCCAAGCGCAATATATCAAGGCACCAATGAAAATGTAAGATATGAGAATAAATAGTGCCACGGTAATTGGTAAATTAAATTCATCGTCTATTTCGAAATTCGATAAGGCGGGTGTTGTGGGGGTGTCTGTATCAGCAACTCCTTCTATGGAGCCAATTGGCGTTGCAACGGCAGGATGAGGAAATTGAGGCGGAACATTTTCAGCGTCGTATACTGATGGCCTTCTGAATGTTGCTATTTCGTACATCAGTTGAGCGCCTTTGAATATTTCCTGTGAAAAGAGAGAGCTATTTAATTAACATTCTTTTGTTATGATGATTTAATGGAGACGACGTTGCCATAATTTTGTGTATGCACCTATAATTGATCATTGATCAAACGTAACTAAACAATGTTTGATCATTGCTGGTAGATGAAAAATAAAAACATTTTCGATTTCTTTAGGGGGACCAATTACATGAAATAATGGATTACGAAACTTGATGAGTTAATTTAGTTTAATAATTTTAGATAATAAATGTGCATATTTTTTCAAATATGAATTTAGATTATCTTAAGCACCTATATTCAATTTAAGTTACTGCGAATTTTTCAAAATACTGAGTGATCCAATTTATAGGATTATTCCTATAATCCGTTTTGCATTAATACATCATATTGAAAATGAGTCTAACAAAACAAATGGAATAATTTCAATTTTATATATAAACCAGGTTTGCACCGTTTCCATTTGAACTATGTGTGGCAAAACAATATCAGGTGTTCCATTTATATTTATAAAATTTTGTGGTAAAAAATGTCTCATGCACCAATGCAAAACGAGTTGCTTGAGCGATGCTATAATGGGTATCAACCAGTATAGTATGAAAGAAATATAGTTATGGATGATGATGGTTTATATTATGTTTTAGTAACATAATAGTAGATGATATATAAAAGAAACTAATATATCAGAACATATAATTTCAACAGTAAAAATTTGACGGTGATGATGCTCTAAGAGTACAATAAATAATGCGACTCTTGAAATTTCAGTGTGTTGCAAGGCAACGATATTCCGTTTTACTTAATTTTCTGGTGTTTTCGTTGTATAAAAAGCTTCAATTTCTTTACTAACGTCCCTGTATCGAGGACTAATTACAGTTTAACATTTTTATTGAAAGTTTATCGATCTAGGTTGACATCACAAAAGATAATTGGTATAACTTTTAAAATCAAGGTATGAACCTTAAATTTGTTTGGCATCATGAGAAAATTTTAGATAACTAGTGCTTCCACCTTAACGATTGAGATGACGATGACTGCTGACCGCAGCAGAGAATATGCACCCGACTGTTCTGCATCTGATATGCGTAACTACCTATAGTCTGTTTAGAAATGAAAGAGAGTAATAAAAGCTTATTATGTATGCAAATCGTAAATAAATGTAGTGCTGGTGCTTATATTCAATATTTTTATATTATGTAGTTTCGGTATAGATGAGGTGTACTTTTAAAAAAACTTTGTGCGATCGGACTGTACTAAATTGTAGCTGGTAGCTAAAATTTAATCCTCGACAATCCGTCTTTGTCTATGCCGCTTCAATTTCTCGGTCCATTTCTCTTATAAGTAAACAATATAAAAACAGCATTTCAAAACATGAGGCTACTTTAAGCATCATAACCGGGTTAAGAGGGTTTTTAGTAATTCAAATAAAATTATTCAATATTATTATCAAAATATTTATTTAAATTTAATGAATAGACTTTTATTTCACACAAAAATATATCTATTTTGAAAATTCAAATTATGGTGAGTAAATGTAGTGTTGTATAAATGTACAATAAAGAAAATAAAAAAGTAGGTATATTAAAATTCATCCACTGAATATATATTCTGATGAATTATCTTCGTCTCCTAGATTGATAATGATAGGTTCCACAGTAACGTCAATTAAATTATCGAGTTGCCACATTTTCTCCTCTTCTTTTTGTACATGATGTATACATCTTTGCCAGTTATCTGCAGTTACTCGTTCCAAGGAATTTTTTAACAAAATTTTCACTTCACTTAATTTAAATGTCGTATTATTTCGCGCTACATCTCCTTTTACCTGCGCCCAGACTAATTCGATTGGGTTAAGTTCACAGTGATAAGGTGGTAACCATATTACCGTTATTTGGCGATTTGTTGCCATTTCATCAATAACATATTTTTTCTGATGTTTATTAAGATTGACAAGTGTCAAAAGTTCCTTTTTCACCATATTTGTTTCAAAAGAAAAGTTTTTTCCGGATAACCATTGAATTATATCGGGTTTCCTCCAAGCAGTAGTAGGCGTCCGCTCGGTCTGCCGTGAATGGTAACTGGCATTATCCATGACAATTACAGACCCCGAAGGAATAAGATCCAACATCTGTGTAAAATACTCTTCGAAAACATCTGCGTTCATGTCTTCGTTATAGTCACCTGTATTTTTAGATTCAAATAAAAGTAAACCGCCATCTACAAAACCACTGGCACTACCTATATGTGTCACTATTAATCTTCGCCCTTTACCTGAAGGTGCCTTGAACCCTGTTGAAAGTCCATCCAAAAATGCTTGTCGAAAACTTTTTACATTTTTATCTTGCCATACTTTTGTTACAGTATATCCCTCGTTGACCCAAGTTTCGTCTAGATAATAAATATTCCTCCCTTCGTCACGGAATTTTCTAATTGATCTTAAGTAGGATCTTCGCCAACAAATAATTTAATCTTTATCGATAAGAACTGACTTCCTGTTCTGCTTTTCCCAGCAAAAATTCAACTCTCGTAAGACGGCCCATAATTTGCTTCTACTGATTTTTGGCAAATCGTTGTCCTCTGAAAGTTCACTTAAAATTTTGTTTAGCGTTGGTATTTCTTTTTTAAAATAAAATGAGTGTACTTTTCTGCGAATGACATTTTTGAAGAAATCATCTATAACGACTTTTGACCTCCCTGTAGATGATTTTGGGGGATTTACAGTATCTTGTTAATTTTTTGTTTCCTTTAAAAGTCTGTAAATAGTCGATTTTCCAATCCCTGTCATTTTTGTTAGCATTAGTGTTACCCGATAATTACCTGAAAAGAAATATTACCACGCCCATGGCCGGTTCTTATCTCGGGGTTTTATTACTCTCTTTCATTTCCAAACAGAGTATACCTGATGTAGAATCATTTAAAATTTAAAGTATTGTTACGACCTACCCTTGATTGCACTGGGGGTATAACTCAAAGACGGTATTCAACAAATAACAGCATATTAAATTTCGAAAAGAAGTAGAAAATAAATCACATAAAAAGAATATAAGACACTGGTTTTGTTAAAATTTCTATCTGGAGGACGACTTAATAATTTACAAATAAGATCGTATGAAAGTCCAACCATCGTGAGGCAGGGCGAAACCTGGAGCACTTTTATCATTCACTCTCCGAAAACTAGAAGGGAACTTCCCGAGTTCTCCTCATGTCTCGAGCATCGAACCCTCTACCGCGTTTATTGCTGTGCTTGCAATGTTCCCCGAGTGGTTGATTTCTATATTGTTATAATTATCAACCACTCAGAAACAATGTCGTGCTGTCAGAAAGTCACTGTTTGTCGACCTCTGCATTCTCGCAACCATTTTGCAGTTTTTATGTTCTAGAAAATGTGTGAGTATGAATTAGGAAATATAAAATAATTTTGAATAAAGACTGGGTTGATGTTTTTTTTCATATATAACTTTGAAAATTCTTAGTTAATAATAATGATTAAAGTTTCCGTATTTGACAGTATCGCCCAATTTCAGACATGATCTTAAGTTTCTTGTCGCAACTTAACTTTTTGCTCTTCAATAAACGAAGATACTAGATTAAACGTATTAAGACGAAGATAGAAATATAGTGAAGGGAACATACGCGAAGTTATTTAAACGGTTTCCAAAGGAATTTCTGCAAGGAAATCATGGCAGTTTTATAAAGGTAATACAACAGTTATATAACTTTTATAAGGCTTTATAATTATAAGGTATAAGGGTATTCAACCCTTTTTTTTCGCGAACTTCTTCACATAAATTTTTATATTCAGGTACCTCCTTACCTTAAATCTTAGTATAATCCGAGTTGGAGTAAATATACTTTAGTTTTAATTAAAGTGAGTGGAGATCCAGAGGTTAGAGTTAGACGTTAAATATTAGGTAAACATAATTTTGGTTTTGTTTGTAGGCTTCCGTGGCCGTCATTAATGGTTAAATTATCTCCGAGTTGGTTGCCACGTCGTCGATTTACAACTATTGATGTTTCGAGAAACATATCGCTCTCTCTTCAGAAGTTACTCTGAAACTGGAGATCTATTAATCTTGTCAGTATTTATATTTGAAGTGGTCACTGATCCATGACGTTCCGGTGGATGACCTCGTGCGCGTTGTTGAGTTCCAGTGGGTTGCTTTCACGGATGACTCTCTTCAATATACCTGGCAGATCCACGCCACCGTCCCTGTTGAAATTGTATATCTGAAGAAGATAGGGATATGTCTCTCGAAACGTCAAGGGTTGTAAATCGACGACGTGACAACCAGCTCGGAAAAGATTCAACCAGGAAAACATAATTTTTTTATTTATTTACTTTAGTGTACTTTAAGTCTAATATTTACATTATAATTTAGATGTAGATTAATTAATAGCAATTGAAAAATTTGAGCTTGCTTATTAGTTCACAGAATTTGTAGTACATGGATCAATATTAGTAAATGCGTGAATAAGAAGACATTGGGGTTAAGCTAGTTAAGGTTTCTGTTTTTTAAATGATTGAATAACATATAATACTGTAGAATGCTGAAAACTAATGGACTTAAAGCAATGATAGTTAATACCAAATAAACAGTATTAAATTCCACCATTTAAGGCCTATAAAGATTTTGTAATTCAGAACAATTATTCGCAACAGTTTTATGCTACTTTTAGTTGTATGTTGTATAATTTATGTGAAGGCTACTTACAACCATTATAAAACAAAAAAAATGTTCAGAGATACGGTATAAGTGCAATCTTACATTAAAAATATTTTTATAAAAAGTATGTTCAAGTTTTGGAAGAAGAATTAAATCACTGTGACTTATTCTATCCAGACGATACAAGTATTTGCAAACCAAACAATTTCCGTTAGATAAAAAAGAACAGTTTAGTGTGTGCAAACAGATTAAAAAAGCTCGACTTCTCATCGTGTAATTAACAGAAACATTTTATTAGAACAGAATGATTTAAAATAATTTAAATAATAACCAATAACTATGATTCTTACATTCATATGTGCTGTCTTCCTGACCTTCTTGCAGCTACCAGTATAATAAAGCCTTCTTACAAAGGACCACAGGAACTTTATACCCCTTGTGAACAGTTTACCGAAATCAGTTAAGGCTATAAGGAAAAGAGGAATTCCAATAAGTGCGTAAACTATAGTAAGTGCCCTTCCCGTTATTGTCTTTGGAAATAGATGTCCGTAACCTAAAACAATAAGAAATTTTAATACCGAATATTCAATGTTAGTAATAAATTTGATATTGATAACTTATGTAGCTGCAGAAAATATTGCAGCGAATTATACTAATTTTGAGTAAGTAAAACAGTAAGAAAGATTTTTATAGTTTGTCCTCGCTTCGAAAATGAAGCCATAAGGTAACGGTAATAAGGTAATTTGGGACAACACAGAAAAATTGTTACCTAGTTCACTTTTATTGTAAAAATTGTTACTAAACAAACGTTTAAATTAAGTAATTTATATTTGTAGATTCTTATTTTAACTGTTTTCTTATTGTGGAAGGATAGTGTGCCTGTGGTGTATGTACGAATAAATAAACCTACTACAATGGGCCACCAGTATAGTAACAAAATTAATGGTGATAATGTTTGGAAATACTAATAAAAACTGCAAGTAGACTACACATTTTTATATCCAACGAATTTGAAATATGCAGTTCTATTTGTAAAAAACATTTCTGCTACCCGACTTTTCGCAACTCGATTTATTTACTTTTAAAAAATTTAGTAAATACTTTATATATTCTATTTCAATATCTTCCATTTGATAAGATCCGCAAGTAAATTGTACATTCGAGGTTCGTGCTTTGTTTTTACAAACATTGTGAAAAACATACTTTCTTGCAAATAAGATATATGGGAAAACTTGATAGATTTTTATATATTACTAATAAATCAAAGTTAAGGTATAACTACAACTACAATATAACGCAATAAAATATATAAAATATCTTCAAGTGGAAAAATAAAATATACGTACGTGTTAAGGAAGATTGAAGATTTTTAAAAAACTACATATTTTCAATATTCTTCCGCTGTCCATGTAAACATTGAAGTTAATAAACTGATTTTTGAATTGATCCTAGAAGTTCTACATTTTACGGTGAGTGATGAGTAGACTATTTCGATATAACAGTTTGAAGACAATCTGCTCACAACGTTTTTTTTTTAATAATTTCCGAATTATTACAGTACCTATCGTATCAGATTTGAAACACGTGTTTGGATATTGTTGGCTCATATTTATACAGAGAAATGTCAATTTCTTTATCTCTTGAAAAACCTAAAAAACGTAAGTATCCTGAAAGAGTGATAACAATTGAAAAAAATATTGCCGTTGAAAGTTTTTTCTAAAGCACAGGATTTCCAAAAAATTAAAAATTATATCGTCGTGTTCTTTGTAGTCTAGAATAGTATGATATACTTACAATTAGTCAAAAACTTTAAACAGTATCAAATTTGATACTGATACTTCAACATTATCAATGGGTCATATTCACGTTGCTGTATCTTCATAGAGTCGAAATTGACCCCAAGTTTTTGTGTTAATTTTGACCAAGAAACACGTTGTAAAAATTTTATAATCGAATTAAATGACGTCCGTATATTTTCTAACTCCTTTCTTAATTACATGACTTATACAGTATGAGTCATTAATAATGGTACACAGCTTAATAACAGATTGTTAACGTCAAAATATAGCGATGGAGCCAAATATGTCTTAATCAAAGTGAAAGTTGAAAAAATATTTTCGATTTTCGATATTTTAAGTATGTGTTGACCAATTGTTTTAAAAATTTATAGTTTTACGTTTTTTGAGGTGGCAAATACGAATATGCAGACAGTGTTCGGATCACGTATAGGGAGCGCTAGTTGTACTGTCCTAGCATTGTGAAAATATGTCTAACTTTTAGTATTTTACAATTTTGAATTCTTTAACTAGAAATTATTGAACTACCCACGTTCAATTCTAAATAAAAATGTATACTTGTTACAAATCGATAAACTCCATTTTCGAGATACAAAGTTTTTGGGAATTGAATTAAAAAATTATTTTTTCCTTAGTAGTAGGCATTGTCATAATAAATTGACAGCTGTCAGTACAATACCATATTGTTTCTGTCAATTCTACTCAATTTGATTAGGAAGTAGTTTTTTCCTTGTCGTTATTTTTTAAAGAAGTAAGAGAATATCTTAATAGAAATTTACCGTACCGTGGGATTGGACGCGGTAGCGAAGTATCTTGGCCTGCACGTAGCCCCGATTTAAATCCGCTGGATTTTTACTTAAATCTCTAGTTTACAATAACATTATTAATAGTCAAGAACAACTGTGGACAAATATTCAAGAATCAGTTCATATTATCAAACAACATAGAACTTTATTTAACGTCAGACAAAAACATAAAAGGCTAAGAAAGTGCATTGAAGTCGCTGGTGGTTAATAATTTGTTAAGATATGCATAACAATAAATTTTCAGTTGCTATAATGCATGTCTTAATTCTTAATTTCGGATAGGTATCTTAAGACTTGCTAATTTTCTAATTTAATTCCGCAGAATCTCAAAAACTTAAACGGTCTGTATCTCGGAAACGGTTGAGTTTATCGATTTGTAGCAAGTATACCTTTTTTTTATTCAGAATTGAACGTAGTTCAATAACACCATCACACGCACAAAAAAAGTTGTCTGAAATGTACATGCGACATATGATTTCCGATGTATTTTCGCCCGTTGAACACGAATCCGGAGTCAGAGTAGCTCCATCACCCTTCAATTTTCAGCAAAACGCTGAAGAATCTTCTGAAAAATGAAAATTTACCTTTTTTAGAAGATTCTTCAGCGTTTTGCTGAAAATTGAAGGGTGCTGGAGCAATTCTGACTCCGGATTCGTGTTCAGCGGGCGAAAATACATCGAAAATCATATGTCGCATATATATTTCAGACAACTTTTTTTTTGTGTGGTGGTGTAATATCAAGTTAAAAAATTCAAAATTCTAAAATCCAAAAAGTTAGACATATTTTTACATTGATAGTTGACAGTTGCTAGTAGCGCCCTCTATGGGTCCATACATACTTAAAATATAGAAAAAAATCGAAAATATTTGTTCAACTTTGACACTCTGTAGAACGAAAAGAAGCAACAATTGATTAGGTAAGGCATGTTTGGCTCAATCGCTATATTTTGACGTTAACAATCTGCCATTAAGCTGTGTACCATTATTAATGAGTCACCGTGTATATAACTTTCAAATTAATACTGTATATCAGTTTCTTCTAAATAACATAGTTTATTCTGAATCAATCTCTATTATTCACGTCATGTACGATTTACTCTCGAACTTTATATGAGCGAATGTTATCGCATTAAAACTAAGTTTACTGTAAAATACCATTGGCATGCTATCGATAAGGACAGTATCTTCAAAAATAATAATTAATGACAATTTTTTCTAAATTGAAATAAATTACATACTTATATTTTTAAATATAATTTAATAAATTCAATTTACTATTTATACGTACATTTAGCTTTGGCTGTCCGAAAAATAGTGAATCAAGTCACAAATTACATATGTATAGAATTATAATATGCGATTCAGAAGGGTAGTTTGGAGAACTAAATATGTCTGCATAGCAATGATTTTACTTTTAACTTTTTAAAATTCTCGTTATTTTCGTCTTCTACTACTAAAGGCATTAGAAAAATTTAAAAAAGACAGAATTTTTGTTTTTAACCTATGATCATGGCCGTTTTCGAAATATTTATGCATAGCTTTGCGCTAATACAGTAAATAAATTGTGTATAAAAATTCTTGTTACTTTTATAGAGCTTTACTGCAGTGAAGCCCATTTTGTAGGAATTTTTCTTACTTTGATTAGCGCTCAAAGTTTATTAAAATATTTTACATGTGTACATATTACGCATTTTATTGCGACTTCGAGGTAGTTACACAATTTGAGATAATTTATTGTCTTACAGTTAATGTGGTGTGGGGATGAAAATATTAACTTAACACATATGCCTGTCTAACACTTTTATTATTTCTTTTCTATTTATCTAAATTAAAAAAAATATTACATTCAATGTAATTGTTGTACAGGGTGTGCCATTTAACACTTCCACTGCCAATATCTCCGAAATGAAGAAATTAATTTTAATTCCGGAATCTGGGGTTGTTAGGTACATCGAATAGCTTCAAATTACAGTTAAAATTGTTAGTTCAAATCTTTCTTTATTCCAGATGGCGTGGCGATACTAAAAAATTTTTTGATTCCCGGAACGTGGCAATGCGGTCCAATTGAAAGATCGATCGACTCGTTTTCGAGACATGTGCACTTCAATATGCAATGTATGATGTAACAGCAAAATATACCTATTATTTTATTTAAATTACACTGAGTCAAAATATTCTTTTAAAATATTGTTATAATGGCTTTATTCACACCATTCATATAACAAACAATAAATTATAAAAAATAAATGATCAGCTACAGCAAAAAAATTGTACAACGGTAAATCTTATAACTAGTAGGTATATTTAAATTGAAAGACGCAAGCTGACAAAACTGTAATTATTAGAAAACTGTCACCATACATCATCATGTTTTATTTTAAACAAATGACATGAGCCACCTATGACTGAATTTTTTAATAATATTTGATAAAATACGGTTAATCTCTTATAAAAGCTGTTTTACATTGACAATTTATTGATCAATTAATTGATGAAGTCGCTTCATCAAGAAATTGGACAAGTGTAATGCACCAAATCAGCTGTCAAATAACTTCATCAATTTATTCATCAAGTTCATGACGAATTAGAGCATGTTCTAATTTTCGTCAATTTCTTCGTGAAGTTCGGAAGTACCAACCCAACAGATTTCCAGCCTCAGATCAGTAATGAGGTTATGTTATTGGAATATGTAAATAATTGTGTGGCGTCGTGCTAGTTTTGCGTTGTTTTTACTGATTTGTTATTTACAAAAACTAATATTTATATAATATGTGTCAGAACGGTACCGCTGTTGTATCACTACAATTATGAGTGGAAAGGTGACATTTTTGAAATTTATTTCCTTCTTTTATTCATTGGTAGAATTGATTCATACGTCAAAAAACTTGACAAAGTCTTTAGCAGTGTAAAACCACACTGTTTACCAATAAATTCGTGAATAAATTGATGAAGAACTTCGTCAATTTATTGATGAATAAATTGTCAATGTAAAACAGCTATAATTCGTCAAGAACTTGATGAATAAATTGATGCAGTTATTTGACAGCTGATTTGGTGCATTACACTTGTCCAATTTCTTGATGAAGCGACGTCATCAATTAATTGATCAATAAATTGTCAATGTAAAACAGCTTTTAGATTTACCATTGTATAATTTTTTTCTGTAGTTGATCATTTGTTTTTTATAATGTATTGTTTGTTAGTTAGTATGTGGTGTGAATAAAGCCATTTTAACAATATTTTAAAATAATATTTGTGTGATTTAAATAAAATAATAGATTTTTCTTTTAGGTACATCATTGCATATTGAAGTCGACATGTCTCGAAAACAAGTAAATATTGGGAAAAACTTTATATTACAAAAATTATTCAAAATTTAACGATCTTTCATATGGACCGCATTTCCACGTTCCAGGAATCAAACAATTTTTTAGTATCGCCACGCGATACTATATAGAAAAAGTTGAACTAACAATTCTAAATGCAATTTGAAGCTATTCGAGGGGCCTAACGACCCCAGTTTCAGGAACTAAAATAAATTTCTTTCTTTCAGAGATATTGGCAGTGGGAGTGTTAAATGGCACACCATGTATATAGAGAGTATCCTAAATAATAATTCTTTTTCTTAAAAAGTATATATTTTTAGGTTCAATTTATGAACAAAGACCTTTTCAAGAATGTGAATGCATCTCAGATATTAAAGATATCTAAAAGTCATAATGGCAACATTTCTTACTAGAAAAGTGAACGAAAAATTTTCAAAATTTAAGTTTAAAGTTGTGTAATGCTGTGCTATATTGGTACTGTTTCATTAAAATATCTTTCAAATGTCTTATAATAAAATGTTATTCTTTTAATTTAAACCACGCACAAATTACGTACATTAAAACGAGGTCCAGCTCAAAATTAAAAATTGCTTTGGACACGAGTTATTCTTGGCCTCTGGAATAAAGTTCCGATCATAATTACTATTTTTTTTAGCATTTCAGACATGTGTGCAGATGGAGTAAAAACGCAATGCAGATAGCGATGTCACCCATTTGCAAGGTAAGTAAAGCCCATGAACATACTGACAGGCCACTCTTAACTCTCCCCCCTCCCAAACTGGTCAAAAACTGCCCCGAAGAGGGATTAAACGCATGTACCACATTTACCACATCTACAGGTTTCATCACCCGTTTTCAAGGGAGATACAGCCTATGAACATACTGTCACGCCACCCCCACCCATCCCAATTGCCAAGAACCAACCCCGAAAGGGGTTACACGCATCTCTGATCTGTTTCGCTGACTGGTTTTCCTCCATCTCCGTTTCTGAGAAAAATAGACCTCACACATTAAAAAATTAAAACATATAAAGAAACAAAACGACAAAGTGATCAGGGTTTTCCACCTCCACGTCGGTTGATTTTGGATAACGCGAAGTGTGAGCAAAGACGTAGAATAACGTTTTTTTATAACAGTAATAGAGGTTGAAAAACAGACATGTGTAGATTTGTGATTTTGGCGCGTTTGAGTGGTCGGAGAGGATCGAGACAACGTGACATCATGTTTGTTCCTCAGAAACGTGCATGGAGGAGAACCGGTCGGTGGAACAGATTAGGGACGTATGTAACCCCTTTTGGGCTTGGTTCTTGTCCAATTGGAGGGGAGGGATTGGGGTGCGGATAGCGTGACAATATGTTCCTGGGCTTTATCTCCCATGAAAATGGGTAATAAAGTAGATGTGGTCGATGAAATATGCGTTTAATCCCCTTCGGGTAATTTTTTTGCCATTTTGGGGAGGGGTGGGTTATCGGTGCGCGTGGCGTGAAAGTATGGTCATAGACTTTGCCCCCCTTGCAAATGGGTGACATCGCTGTCCGCGATGTATTTTTACACTATTTACAAACGTGTCTAAAACGAAAGGAATAAAGGAAAAAAAGGAATGAAAGGGGCCAAAATCCATCTGCCGGCGTTTTTATGATTGGAACTTTATTCCAGAGACCAAAAATAAGTCGTATCCACAGCAATGTTCAATGTTGACCGTGACCACCTTTTAATGTAATTGGCGCGTGCTCCTTTTGAACTTAGATAACTATTTTGGACGATTCTGAACAACTTTGATCAATACATTTTTCCAAAGAAAAAATGTCCATTTTTGATACTAGTGTCCTAGTTGGTCTTGCATTTGAGAAGAGTAAGTGAATTTTGCTTACGGAATAAATAAGGATTGTTCCACTTTTTGGAATAAATTTATTTCAATCTTAAGTAAGAGAAACTGTATCAAAATCAAATATTCACATGTACATAACTTTGCAAAGTTTTGTCTAACATATTAATATATATTTATTTGTGGATGATAAACAAAATGTTTCATTCCACTGGAATTCTTTCATATTTTTAGTTAGGCGTAATATATATGCTATGTCTTGTTGGCGTCATCACAAATTGACTAACTGATTTTAAATGTTCCTTACCCACAAAAAATCTGCGACATTTTATTTTTATTTAGATATTAAAGCATATGGTTGTGTAATATTTAGATAAATACCAATTTAAATGTCTAGACAAGGGTTATCATTGAAACACTTTTCTATACTCGTTTAGGTATTTTCGCTTTTCAAAAAACGTATTGTAAATAAACTAAATTAAATAAATATTAATTAACATTTTCACTATTTGCGGATTTTTTTATTTAGAAAGTCATGATAGACAAAAGAAAGTACAGCAAGTTAAGATATATCTTTAAATATATATAATTACATTATATATACAAGGTGTTCTGAAATTAGCTTGTAATAATTTAAGTACATCATACGTTTAAAAATAAGAGAAGTTTATATGAATGTATGCAGAGAAATAGGAGATTACATGCCCTTAAAAGATAGCATCTGAAAGTAATATTACTTTTTATTACTTTTCAGGTATCTCCGAAACGGTTTGAGATAAAACAAGTTTGAAACCGAATTACAATTAGATTTTGAACTGAATGAAGAAAAGAATAATTTTTTGTACATAACTATTTTGAGTAGAAACGTACTCTTGAATGTTTTGATATGTTTTATAGGCTACTAAACTATTTTCAGGATTGTTAATAATTTGAATTATTTAATTATTTATTAAGCACAGCTTAATTGTATGCTGTGAAAAATGGCAGCACTGATTAATTTGAAATTTTATGTAAAATTAAGTATCTTGAATTATAGCCAACTAAATAAAATCATAGGAAAACAATAATCCCCAAAATTAATGTAAGAAAAACAAGGGAAACCAGATTACTAAAAGACAATGTTTAAACAACTTAACTAAATTATATTTTTCGATCATTATATTTAGAAATAAAATTTTGTTCAATTACTTCTCCCGGAAGTTCATTATTTATAAATGGTTATAATTTAAGAGTTTAGAGTTTACCACATCCCTAGGGGTATGTATGTTGAAAGTGATGTCTAGATAATCTGGAAAAAATGCTCACAACACCCTATATCCTAGGGCCTTTCTGTCCTATGATCACATAAAATTTTTCTACTAAAATAATACAATATTAAGGCCAATTACTATAATTCCCAAATTAATAGACATGTTCTCTTAAAATTCATGTTGATCTTACCAATAGTTGTAATGACGGTTAGTGCATATACAACGCCATTCAAAAAGCTCCAAGATCTTTGTCCACTGTAACTGGTCATTCCAGCCTCGTGCGCAGTGTGCAGTTCCTCTTCGAATATCCTCAACCTATTTCTAGCTAATGATTTCCAGTCTTCTTCCCTTAAGTTATGACTTTTAATCCACAGTAAATCAATAAAATCTCTCTTAACTCTTTTCACTCCGCACTTGTAAAATGTTTCAAAACTGCCCTCAGTAAATTTAAATATTATGCCACCAATTCCACATAGAACCATAATAAGGAAAAGCTCACACATGCATTTGTTCCAAAGCTTACGGATTTTTTTGTATTCTTCCTTCATTTCTAGTTTATAAGCCTTATAATTTCTGCGGATTTCAAAAACAGAAAGCATTCGAAGATTAGAAAATAAATCTTTCAATTTGAAGTCTGGTTTGACAATAGTTTTCCTAGATATAACGAAAGATGTTTTGGGGTCAAGTACTTCTATAATTTTTGTAGAAAATTGTTTGTCTTTTTTTCTTTGCCTGACAAATGCTTGGACTTCTGGTCTAAAAGGTTTAGGTTCAAAAGGAATTTCTGGAGTGAGTGATCGTAAACTCGAGTCAGAATATTTTCTTGGCCTTTCTGCATTTTCCACGCTTAAAAGTTGTGCTTTTTTGAAACTTTCAATTAACTCTTCTTCAGTAAATTGATGTGGAGCAGACTGACTCCTTTTGACTAATTCTTTTTCAGTTTTCCTGAATCGGTCCCTGCCTCGAATAGCAGCTGCAGTAAGAGATTTTTTTGTTTTGTTTAAAAATGATAGTACCTCTGCTTGAGCTATGTCCGATAAACTTTCTCTTTTTTTCTTATCCTCCAGAGGTTTTGGGATAATTTTGTCTTTATTAGCATTACTTTTGGAATCATTTCCATTGAAATTATTGTGTCTTATATGGCGTTCTACTTTAGCTCGATTAGGTTCCGATTCCGTTTCACTCGCGTCTCTTTTAGTTGCTGATCTGGTTCTTCTTGGACGCCGCCTTTCGGGAGTTTTCGGTTTTCGTTCGGGAATGTCCTCGTCGGAAGTAGTCGTGAGCTTATCATCTGCATTTTTTGCCGGTGTCGTCTCTCGTCTTGTCAAGCTTGTACTTCGCCTTTTCGTAAATCTCCTCCGTTTTCTCGCAACACTATCACTAAACACTTGTTCCGGCGTAAGCAGGGCCTCGATTCGAGCAATATCAACTTCTTTGTTATGGATTTCACTGTCATTTTCTTCGCTTCTATTTTCTGTAGGTGTTTGCAATGAATCCATGATTACTACACTAAGTTATATTTAGATGAGTTTGCTTAGCTGGTGCCGCGTCGTATTTTAACTGTGCAACTTATTTTAAACTTCGAGGTGGTAGATGGAGCTATATTGGTTCGTAGATATATAATTGTACACAGCCGTGCTCCTATTTTTAAAATCGTTATTTGACTTCTATGGGCTACGTATTTGCCCTACCAACATGCACTTTGAGGAAATTGGTTATTAAAGAAAAACGAAACTGTTAAGGAGTTTATCACAAGTATTCCATATTCTAACGGAATTTAGCACAATTAATATTTACGTTGCTTAATGCATAATATTTGGTTAAATAAAATTCACCTTTTTTATAGCAAGAAAGTATAGGTACTCAGATCACTTGTTTTAATGTTTGGCTTTGGCATAGTTTTAAAAGATATTTTAAATTATTAGGGTCAGAAAGAATGGGCCACACTACAAGGGTACTAGTATTGAAATAAACTGATTTAGATCAAGCTACTTTGTCATAATATTGTCTCTAGAAAGCAACGAGCCTTCAATGCATATTTTTAAATTCTTTATTTTAAGGTATATCAATGAAATTAAAAATAGTGGGTCGCTAATAGTAACAGCCCTTTGTTTTTACTACTGATATTATAGGAATTATTACAATATTGCATTGTAGATTAGATCAATTGTCATTTGCATCTTCATTATACAGGGTGGTCCAGTCTCCGATGCGGAAACTTCAGGGATATTTGTAAAGAAAAAATTGGTACGCCACTGGTTTTACATAAAATACAAGTCAGATTTGGATTCTTCATTAAATTTGGAAGAAAAAAGCTGTCTTTCGATTTTTCTGTACAACTCAGCGTTTTCGCGTAAAAAAAATAAAAACCCTTTTAACAAATACAATGTAAATGAAATTTCATTTTTTATGTTAATAAAACTGTAACAGGAAAAACAACAGATTTAATTAGTGATGTACTACAAAATAAAATAGAAATGTAAGTTAAAGAAATTGCTCGAAATGTATAGCACCCACCTCAAGACATTCTCGACATCGTGTAACTAATATTTATTGCAGCAGCTACTTCATTTGGATTTCGCCGCATATCATTTCAAACTTGCTGAATCCTTAAAATTAAATAATCTCTTGTTAACACTGGAGGAGCATAAACTTTGTCTTTTACATTTCCCTAAACGTAGAAGTCCAGTGGATTAAGATCCGGTGACCTGGATGGCCAGGCCACTGGTCCAATACCATTAATAACGTCATGATTCCTGTCATTCGTCCCTAACCGGTCAATCCAACGCTGCGGACGATTAGTATTTAGCCATGCTCTTACAGTTATTCTAAAATACGGGAGGGGGCTCCATCCAGTTGTATCCAACATGAAGTCTTCAGTTAATGTGTATATCCTCGATATAGTCCTGCAGGTTATTAGTAAGAAATTCAAGAAATAGTTCTCAGTTTAACCTTGAGAGTAGAAAATGTGGGCCATAAACATTATTATCAAAAACTCCCAACCAAACATTTACGGAAAATTCATTTTGAAATGATTATGGCCGAATTTCTCGAGGATTTTCGTGTGCTCAAATATGAATATTGTGGTAATTTGTTATTCCCCGTTTACTGAATGAGGATTCATCCATCCACAGAATTTTGTGCAAAAAGTCAGGATTTTCTTCTGTCTAGTTTAAGAGCCACTGGCAAAACCTCATTCGTTTTTCAGCATCCCCAGGGTGTAAATCTTTAACGGGCTGTAGATGATATGCATGCCTGTAGTCATCTCGTAATTTTCGTAATATTTGAGACCTAGATATATGCTGAGCTTCGGATTGTCATCAAAAGTACGAAGATACAATTCCGATTGTTATTGCGACGGTTTCTGTTATGTTATTCATTATTAACACGCAGACCAAAATTACGAAACTTTTGATGTGTTCCAATGAAGACACGAGCATTTGGAATTCTTCTATTTGGATAACGTCTTCGATATTCGCGAACTGCCGCTTCAGCTTTTCCATCACAAAATACGTAACAAAAATGAATATCTGCGTATTCTTCGTTACTAAAAAGTATTTTTCAGGTATAATAATAATTATAATAATAATTACAAATCAAATTACTAGACACTAAATGTGACATAGTTACTAATTAATTTGAAATAATTCAGATAAATTTGTTATGTTGTCGTACTTGCTCAATTGTTTTACAGAGATCACTTTGAAAACGCTGAGTCATACAGAAAAATCGAAAGAGCTTTTTTCTTCCAAATTGAACGAAGAATCCAAAACGGATTTTTATTTTATGTAAAAGCAGTGGCGTACCAATTTCTTCTTTAGAAATATCCAGTAACGTGCTAGTACGGATGCCACTGGCAAAACTAAAAATTATGTTTTTCATTGCAAAACGTGCTCTCTTGATGATAGTTAACGTCTACAAAATTTGAAATATCTTTAGCCGTTTGACAACAATTAATAAATTTGATTTTTTTAAACCAATCTTGAACACCCTTAACGAAGCATTTTTCGAATATAGTTTATATATCAAACTCATATTATTTTTTGAATCTCTATTGGTCCCTGAAGTTTCCGCATCGGAAACTGGACCACCCTATATATTTTTTTCTTGGCATACATTTTGTGAAAACGTATTGTCTCATGAAACTTAATTTACCGTAAAGAGGTGTACTTATATACCATATTACTAAAATACATCATACCAAAGATCAATGGATTCCAGGTTCATGTTGTCATATATTTGAGTAGGTACTTGAGATCATTTTAATCATGTTTTCGCTGAATTTACTTTAAAATCTAAAATAAAAAACAACATTTAGATGTCTTGCATTTCAGCAGGTGTTGATTTACAAGTTGTAAAAGTCGTAACAGTTACAACCTTTCATATTTTAAGAGATACAGAAAAGGTTAAATGAACAAAAATATGCAGAATTTTATGCCGAACACGGATTCGTTTTTAAATAGAGAAAATTCCGAATAGTCGAAGGAAACCGATTTTATCCTGTTGCTTTTTTTTTTACTGTATTCCACTTGTTTTAAAAAATTTTAGGATGAAAATATGTAGTTTAATATTAAATGACGTGAGGAATCGATTTTTGCTGTTAGTATTAACGTATCTCTAAAAATGTGTGCTGTAAACGTTTGTAGGCCAATCAATATAGAGGTTTTGTTTGTGACAAAAATACTAATAGCAGACGGACTGTGCCATCATATAAAAGACAGTCTGTAGATATATGCTTATATGTTTCCTACTCCAATTTGCCATTAATTAATTTTTTATAAACATTTTTATGCAAAAAAACGTATTTTTTTTAGTTTTTTTGCTTATAAAACCTAAACTAACGAAGAAATCTGAATGATATAAAGAGACAATTTGTAGAGAATCGAAAGACGAGTAAAATCTTATCGGATAATTAGAAACGAAGAAAACCCGAAAAAATCGGAAAATTTAGCGTTTTTAGACGAATAAAATCTTATCGGATAATTAGAAACGAAGAAACCCCGAAAAAATCGGAATATTTAGCGTTTTTTTTTAATTCATTACCCCGCAATTTTTTAAGCTGTAGAGCTGAAATGTATTTATGGTCCGAAGCGAAATGTATGGAAGTGACTCGACCTCATTAATTCACTCTTAGTACTCTGCATCTATCATATAAACCATATATTTACATAAATCCAAACATTTAAGAGATTTAATTATTATTGAGAGTAAAATAGGCTGAATTGAATGACAATTTTAATAACATTAAACAAAGCAAGAATAATAGGGAATTAAAATAATAGTAAGTCATAGTAATAATAGTAATCAATGCAACATGGATATTACAAGAAAAATATTTTATTAAAAAATAAATATTATTATCATTATAAAAATATTAGCTGGGAAATATTAAATCTGGAAGGATATTTACATATTTTTAAAAAAGTACTCGTTTCTGTAGGATTGCAAAATCTATCTAAAAAGTGAAAGTTTCCGGTAGATAGCACGTGACCAACTTCTTTATATTCTCGTTTGCTTCAAGGAAAAGCCAAACTTACTGACATGATTTTCATAGGAAATAATAAAAAAAATCCTATATTATGATGCGATAAATTTGGAAAAACAGACTCTAATAAAATCAACTACGTAGGATGGATTTGTAAATTATCTAAACCATATCAAATAGAAAAATAAAGGCAAGCTACTGGATCTCATGACGTCAATGAAAATGTTTTAAACTGCCTCGCATCAAGTTTGAAAAATCAAAATAAACATTTGATAAAACTGCAAAACGAAATTCATGGAATATTAGGTTCTCATCGTAATGTTTTCGTACGATTATCGTACAAAGTGTAGTAAGGTGTGTAATGACACTAAAAATATGTTTTATGGTGCAGTGTGCTTATATTACACACAACATATTTATAAATGTAACTTTTTATTTGTCGCTTTAAATTATTTTTTTAATAAGTACTTAAATAGTAGCTACATATTGAATATGGACTAAAAAAATAATCGGTACAAATGTTGAGATATTTTCTTAATACATAATGATTTTATGTATATGTAGTAGTCCTGATATAATAAAAAATTATAAAAAAATTTATTTTTAGTTTTTGCTGGTACACATCGAATTTTGGTGAAATATTGAAAATGATGTATAAAAATTGTGATAATTGCATAATAATTTTCATAGGTATTTCATTGTTAATTTATAACTATAAAACGTATATGACGTTGGTTGTAAATATGTTACAAGCCCAATGTCGGTGACATTTAGAAACGCTTTACTAATGTTGCATAGACCCACATTTGTGGAAATTCGTGCTAACTGACTTTTTATATATGATTTATTAATCTGACAAATCTGACAATTCTGACAAATTTATTTTATCATAGAACTACAGCGAAAATTACAAAGGAATTTTAAAGCATTAAATTATTATAGACATAGGTACCGAATCCAAATTAGGGTCAGATTTGCTTCGTCGCGCCGGAATTTCGAGATATGTTAATCAAAATGTGGGAAAAACGTTTTT